GTGTGCCTGGATAATTTTTGAAAAAGGGGAACCAAGAGAGAACACGTAACGGTGCTAGGAGAGCACTTCTCTTAACTGGCCAACAACAAAAAAAGGGCAAAACAAATGTCTCATGCATAACAGGTGAAAAAAAAACAAAACACAACTTCTGAATTTCTGCTTTTTTACCCCCATGCAAATGAAGTGGTAACTGCTTTCTATGACTTTTCCTCCTCCTTCACCACTACCACCCACCAAAGCAAATTAAGAGATTTTGATGTAGTTTCCTAAACATGTGGTGAGCCAGACATGGAATCAAGCATCTCTTCTGACTTATACTGGCTGTGTGCCCAAGGCAACCCACTTAGCTTCCTGGAACTCTACAGGACCCCAAGTGATAGAGCAGCTGCCCATGGAGGGCAATGCCTTCATCTAGGACACACTAAACCAATGAAGTCACAGGTCTCCCCCATTCCCCACCACCAAGGGGGCAACTTCCAAACAAATTCTCAGATTTTGGTATATGTTTTGGAGAAGGGCAGCTAGGTGGCAAAGTGGATAGAGCACCAGTACTGAAGTCAGGAGGACCTGAGTTCAAATCGGGCTTCAGACACTTGACACTAGCTGTGTGACCCTGGGCAAGTCACTTAATGCTGACTGCCTCACCCCCCCCCCAAAAAATGTTTTGGACAGAAAGCTTGAGTCTCCAGTTTTTCCTAGCATCAGTCTTTTTGTCTTTTTTCTCTCCCTTCCACCACCTTTCTCTTTCTCTTCCCCTTCCTCTCTTTTCCTCTTCTCTCCCTTTCTCTCTCTCCCTCCATCTCCTCCTTCTCTCTTTCTCTCTCTCTCCATCCCTTCTCTGGTCATCGATGGCAATGCCCCACACTAACTGATTACTTCCACAATCTCTTAGCAACTGTCAACTCACCTGAAAAATAGAAGCTATTAGCAAGCTTAATGTACACTTTGGATGAATTTCAAGGGCCTCCAGCTACATCTGGACCACTAGGGAATGTGCTAGAGGCTCAACGGTGAAAACCAACTATACCTTAGCCTAATCTCCACTTGGGGGAAAACACACCCTAGAATTATTGTTGGATTTTTAGGATCATATTTTTAGAGCTGGAAGGTACCTTAAAGGCAGCTTGTTTTCTAGCCTAGTGATAGACCAAGCAAGTAAATACAAAGTATTCAAAAGGGAATAGGGGGAGGAGGGGTAGAGAAGAGAGGAGAGGAAATCTGAGACCTACTCCTATCCCTTAACTTTGCTAACTTAACGCTGCTAAGAGGTTAAGGGGGTTCTCTCTGAAGATCTGACTAGAATAAACTTACAAAGTGCTCTAAGACTTAACAGGGAAGTTCTCTGATTTGCCTAGGTATAGGTGATCTGTGAAGGGATTTAGCTGAATACTGAAAAAATACCCATTAGTGGCTTTTGATCAAGAGTAACCATCATCATGTCCAACATGGATGGGCACTCACTGAATTTCCCCAGAAATGCCCAGGACTGCCATTCCCACACAAAGTGTTGGTTATCCTTATGGGTCATCTGCCTGAAAGCAGAGACAAAGAACAGGTGAGGAGGCATTGCTCCACACGAGAAATAAACAAAAACCTGCATGACACCTAAGACAAGGTAACGAATAACTGATGATAAAGTAACTAACATCTGCTCTCAGAAGATTTTCCAAAGCATAGTTGGCTGTGACCCTCCTAAGTCCTCAAATACAAAGCATATAACCTCATCCAACAATCTCTTTCCCACATTCAGTGTCTCAGAAGTCAGAGAACCTGGTTTCAAATCCTCCCTCAGCTGCTTAATACAATGCACTTTACAAAGCTGATCTCAACAAGGGAGATGAGATATGGTTATGCATATAAACTGTTATCTCTATGTGAGCTACCACTGTTATCCGTGTGACCTTGGGCAGTTACTTAATCTCCCCTTCACCCCTAAAATGGTCGGTAGAGGGTTTGGACTGGATGACCTGTAAGATCCTTTTCAGCTCTAAATCTAACAAGGCACTGTGTTTATTAGGGCCCAAGATAGTAAGATGAAGTCCCTCCCCTCAAAGCCCATATGCAGGGTTTGCTCAGGTAAGGATGGTGCGAACAAGTAAATATCACTTTCTGGATCAGGAATAGGTCCCGAGCTTGTAACAACTGCGTGAGTTATTGATATCCCTAAGTATGGTAATAAAGGCCTAATAGCTGATTACCAGTCCAGTCAGACTGGCCACAGCTGAAATCTCAGATTTCGGTGCGGTTCAGACCCACAAAGCCAACCTTTCTCCCATTAAAAGCCCAGAATTTTACTTTTTTTTTTTTTTTTAACTAATAAACAAGAGGTATTTGCTTACAACACAGCCTATAATCCTATAGGCTCAGGTGGCCATGAGTGGGAAGAGGATCATTTAACTATTATTATTATTATTATCCCTCAAAAGCCCTTAAAACCATTACTACACTTTTTAAAAATGCAGTTGAAGAAAATAGGCCTGAACTTAGTATCTGGCGGTGTTATCGGAACACCCCAGTACGCTGTTGTTAACAAAGTCAGAAATCTCCAGGGCAGGTGTAAAAGGTCTTATAGGTTTGAGCCTTTAATTTTATAGAGCCAGGGAATACCATTCTTGCATTTAATTTTACTGCGATGGGGAAGAAAAACAAGAAGCTTAAAGTTGATACTATTATTTTTATCAGTCCCTGCAAAGATTAAGATTTTTAAGACTCTGTAAGAGTTAAGAGTTAAGAGCCCGGGTTCTTGACATTCACAAAGAAACAAAGTGGTGCGAACCGTTAACAGTGTTTGCTAAATCCATCAGCGTAGGGTTTGTTCACTTGGGTGTAGTAGCACTAGCCCTAGGAAATTTTGACTTTGAGGGGTTTGAGCAGAGCGAGCCTTTCGTTCTTAAGAGGAAATTAACCGCAGGGGCCATAAAATGGCTTAAGGGCTGGCAAAGACGAGGAGACTTGGTCAGGGAGTCACGAGACCTGGGTTTGGGTTCTGGCTCTTACGGGTGAGCTTAGCCAGGTCTCTTCCCCTCTCTGGGTCTCAGTTTCCCCATCTGTATCCCCAGTGTCTAGCACTGCCTCGAGCATGGTAGATGCTTAATAATGTGGAATCGAATTGGATTGCAGGACAGGCATATTCCATGATCCCTTTCAACTCAGAACCCTATGACTAGTCTGAAGGAGAAGTCATTTGACGGTTCCGGTCACTCCAAACTGGAAGCAGGAGGGCAGGAGCCCAGGGGTTCAGTAACAGAGGAAGGAAAGCCAGGAACTTCACCCTTCCCCCCAACCCCTCCCCGAGACTTCCGGAGGTCCGGACCGGCGCTAGGCTGGGAGGTGCCACGCAGGAAAACCCACTCCCCTCTTGCTGTCTCTGGCCCCCATTGGCCAAGGGGAGTGGCTCGAGGATCGCCAGTTCCAGAGGTACCCAATGGGAATGGCCTCACCCTTCCCCTTTCGACACAGTGCAGGGGGGTTGGGGGGAGTGGCGGATGGAAGGAGGAAGCAGAAGGTCGGGGCACCTCGAGGGTAGCTTGACCAGGGACCGCTAAGTCTGAGCCCCGCAGCCTGGAAGCCAGAAAATCTGCAAGGGGAGGAATTCTGGAGGCCCCAGGCCAGGGCCCGATGGGGTGCCCGTCAGCCTGGGCGGGGCCAGGCCGAGGGAAGAGACCACGATTCTTCCCCTGTAATGGAGCGGGCACCCGGCACGTCAGTCCCGCCGCCTCCTCCCACTCGGGTCCGCCCCTAGGGATTGCTTACCGCGGTGGGAGGAGAGGAGGACGGGCGCGAAGTTTTCTAAGAAAGGGGCGGACCCCAAACGAAAGAAAGTCATACGGGATGGAATGTTAGACCCTAGAGGTCCCTTTACGCCTGAGGAAACTGAGCCCTAGAGAGAATTTAGACCTGGAAGGAGCCTCTGAGGCCATCGAGTGCAGAACCCTCATTTTCACAGATGAGGAAACTGAGGCCCAGAGAGGTTAAGTATTTTAACTAAACTCCCAAGGGGAGCGTGAGCATCAGCGGTGGGTTTAAACCTCAGTTATCACACTCCAATTCCAGCTGACCAAAAGGCTTTCTAGAGGACACGCCAGCTCATCAGTGGCAGAAGCCGAGGTGAGCCCCAGATTTGTACCATTCCTGCCCTGCCGTCCTCTGCCTTCAAATTCCGATTCGGCGACTCCCGGGGCCACCTAGGCTTTATTGCCTTGATTCTAGTATCCCCATCCCCATCCGTGGTAATATGTGCTCTTAGGTAAGTCCCCGTTTCCACTCCATCTGGCAAATGAATGAGCAAAAGCCGTCCAAGTGGGTGCGCCTCCCTCTCGCTGGTTTCGGCAGAATGAAAGGCCGCCAAGAAACAATGAATGGAAGCATGAGGGAGAGGGAAGGCAGGAGGAACCTCTCGTCTCTGGAGCTTGTAGGGTTAACTATCTCCAGCGGGCAGAACGACATTCCAACTCAGCGAATGGGAGCTGTAGCTCTATATGGTAGTGGCTAGTAGAAATCCCACCTCAGTCCCCCTCCTTCCATTTCCGACCGGCTTTCAGCAAACCATGAATAATAGAGAAACTTTATTCTCATGACACCATCCTGCTATATCTAAGCCGCCCTGCCTATGCCATGGTAATGGTCACTACCAGATAAATTCACGATTTCCACCACTGGGATAATGCCCTTTAAGCTCATAGAAAACACAGTATTGTGACTAGTTTATCTTCGCATCTCCAGCTCGAGCCTTGGCACGTGGCAGAAGCTTACCAAAAGTGTTGGTCCAATTGAAAAGTAACAGGTTTCCAATTATTTGATTCTCCTAGCACTTTCTAGTGAAAGAGAAATGGTTAAGATCGGTTTCGCAGAGATTGTGAGAACGACAGCCTTAGCCACTGTACTCACAAGCATAACAGTAATGTTACAATGAATCAACAGACCCCTCTAACCAATAAGCCGGTCAGAACATTCCAAGTCCCAGTCAATCGGGCGGGGGGAGGGGGGGGCCGGAATCTTACCTGCTTTCGTGGCAGTAGGTAGAATCAGAATGACAAAGAACCCTGAGCTCAGCAATACATCTAAAGCTCTGAAGCCTTTCATGCTTCCTTCTCCCCCTTTTGCCTTGCTTTCTTTCCCCCTGCTTCTATTGTGTCCGATGCCAACAGTTGGTTTTAACTGGACTTTAAATTTTCGGCGGAAACCCAGACGTGACCGACCACGTCTGTATGGGAAATGCTTGGGGGGCAGGAGTTATTTGCAGAATTTCAATGTGCGGCTTCGATGAGGGGGAGGAGCTTAATGTGGGGTGATTTTCAAAAATCTTCACCTCACAGAAGGAGGAGGAGATTCCAACACATGATGTGACATAGGCACCATCTTTAACCCGTGAAACCCTGACTGTGAGTGAACAATTTTCCAGAGACCCCTGGCAACCCTTCCTGAGCCCTGCGAAACAAGTTCCTGAAACGTTTCCTATTTGTCTATCGCTGTTCTAGGTACCGCTGCCCACATACTCGAAGAAGGTACACCAGCATCTGTACTCCTCAAAAACTGCAATCATTTATCTGTTTCCCTTGGACTGATAATGAATGGCCACGGCTGTAGCCGTGGCTACAAAAAAAAAGAAAAGGCTGTAGCCTTTTCTCCGTTAAATGGCTACACGTCATAACTTGGCCCTGATTTTCACAATAATATTCTCCATGGCCTTTGGAATTCCTATCTGTGTATTTAACCAAAGCAATCACACCTGTGAAGCTGCGAGGTATTTTCCGATTTTACAATGACACTTGTGTGTTGAATTGCCTCCAACCTCCAGGCTTGAAAGCATTACGAGGATAGCCGCACCCTTCTAAACACAAACAAAACAAAAATGCCACCTCCACCCTTCCGGCTGGTGTTCAAAGCTAAAATCTTTTTCCTCTTTGGAAGTGAAGACCGAAGGTGAAGTGAGAGGTTGAACAGGCTAGTTTCCCAAATGAAATAAAAACAAAAAGCAACCTCCCCCCACTCCCAATATCTGACTTTCCCCATAGAATATTTGTCCAAGGCTACCCTGGTGCTTAGTGCTCCCCCATTACTTTGAATATACCAGCCTCACCTCAACACCTCACCTCCCCAGAATGTAAACTCTTCGAGGGATAAGGACTCTCACCTTTTTGTCTCGTATCCCAAGTGGCCCCGAATAGTACCTAGAACTTAGCAGGCAGTTACCTAATAAATTTGAGCCCTACGGAGAACCTAGATCTAGATCTGGAAAAGACCTCTAGAGGCTGGCAGAAAATAAGCATTTATTAAGCTCTTACTGTGTGCCAACGCACTGTGCTAACTAAACTAGAGCTGTTGGTTGGATTGAAAGTAATAGTGATTAGTTAGGCTAATCTTGTTGCCAAAGGGAATTTACTTAAGGGATGCAAATACTGAGCCTCTTGCCCAAAGCCCTGAAACTCCTTTGGACTTCTCCAGGAATGAGGGAGGGTCCTGAGGTCCTGCCATCTAAAAAGACGGCAGCAGCAAGCAATAAAGGGGATGTGGTGAGCAAATGTTTGTTGAATTGAATGGACCACCATGCTCTCACTTATGAATGCCTTTTCTTCTTGTAGACTGGAGAAAGAGGTTACAGAGTGTATTTTAGTTTCCATTTCCATAAATGGCAAACAATAAAGAGGTGAGGTTAATTCCTCCCCAAGAGTTAAGATTCATTCAGCTATTCCTCCTTTTCATTCTGTATGCCCAAAGCTACTACAATCACAAACGTGGTTTTGATTTCTTTTGTGTAACTTAATAAGCATGTCAGGACAAAAAAATGTAATCCTAAAGCATGCTCCTCCTCCTTGGGCCTCTCAGAGCACTTTGTTCCACATCTCTCTATTGTACTCATCACATAAACCTATGAATTATAGCTCTTTTTATTACAGTCCTAATCCTCTACCAGACTTCAACCTCAATGAAGGCAGCCATCTTGTCTCATTTAAGTTTTGGACCTTGCCTGGCATTTAGTACAGTGCTTAACATATAGTGGACATTTACTGTTTTCTTTTTGAATGAAAAGTAATGACAAATTTAAGGCAAAGTAGTTATAGTGCAGATTCTCAGCCTTTGGGATTGCTTCTTTTCCTTTGTGCAAAAGTCAGGCTAAGAAAAAATGGAAGACAAGTAAAAAAGTTTTATTACAAATTTTATCTTTTTCCCACCCTCAATGTCAAATATTTGGAAGGGAAAAGGGAGGATAGTGTTAGGGTTGGCAAAAAGATAAAGAAAAGAGGGTCCTTGAAGCATTTTTTTTTAAATGAACAAAAGATTACAAAAGAAGGAAACATAAGCAGGATAGTTTGAAAAGTTATATGTTGATTTTATTGTATACTTAAAAGTAAAAGCGAGCTCTCAGTGATAGAGATTTGCAATATCCTATACAGTCCTTTTCTGTTTTACTTGGTGTTTGTTGAGTTGAGAACAAAAAAAATTTTTTTTTGAAAATTAAAGCTAAAAGTGTTGCTTTCACAAGGTAGAAAGGAAAGTCTACTAGTTGAGAGTACAGGAGACCTGTGAGTCACAACCTTTCAGCCTATTCATAGAATCTGTCCTTCCTTACCTCACAGAATTGCAGAATAGCCCCAAGAGCACTGGATTTGTCATGCAACAAAAGATTTGCCTCAAATCCCAGCTCTGCTTCTCAGTGATTTGGGGCAGGCACCAACTTTGAACATCCGATTCATCATCAAGGTTTGGACTAGATAAGCTCTAAGGTCCCCTGGAGCTTTAAATTCCTAGGATTTGATCTCCTGAGGTCTAAGTGAGATAACTGTCATGCAAGCCCTTTATCCCAAAGTACTATACAAGTTCAAAGGATTATATGATCTTATTTATTATATAGGATCAAAAAATTAATTCAAGTCCCTATGCCAGTGGTTCCCAACCTGTATATTTTATTTATTGCAAGGGGTCCAAGATGCATGTATGTTCACCAAGTACTATCATTTTGGTCTCTTATTTTGGCTCCAAAAAAATCTGAAGCATGAGTAATGGGTTTCTACATTCAGATTTTATATGATCCAGTGAGGCATTGGTGCTTAGTCTGATCATGTTACACATGGATGCTGTCAAGGTGTTTCACTTAGCTTAGAGTACAATACCTGAGTTAGCCAGTGAGTGGCTATTTACTTGAACCTTTTCCTCTCCATGGGCTGCCCAGGCAGAGTGTGGCAAGCCCTTTAGCAGACTACAATAATCCCCTTTCTCTCTCTCCCTTTCTTCTATCTCTCTCTCTCTCTCTCTCACACACACACACACACACACACACACACACACCTCCTTCCCCTAGTATTATACATACCATTAATAATCAGTCATGGGAGTAAAGCAGGAATGCTCAACCTCCCCACTATTATTTGATATACTTTGGGAAATGCTTGCAAAAGAAATAGGACAAAAGAAAGAAAGGCATAAAGATAGATAAAGAAGAGACAAAAACTATAGTAATTGGCTGATGACATGATGGTATACTTGGAAAATCCTAGAAAAACACCAAAAATACTAATTGAGACAATATATACTGCAAAGTTGCAGGCTACAAAATAAACTCTCAAAAATCAACTGCATTTCTATATAATCATAATAAAATCCATGAATCAATAATAGAAAGGGAAATCCCATTCCAAGTAACACAAAATATATAAAATATCTGGGGATAGATATAACAAAGCACATGAAAGACTTGTTTATGTTCAATTACAAAGTGCTACTTAAAGAAATAGAGAAGAACTTAAAATAGCAGGAGGAATATTCAGTGCTCATGGCTAAGCCATGCCAATATAATAAAAATGAAAATACTACCAAAGTTAGTTTACACTTTTAATGCTATACAAATCAAATTATCAAGGGAATACTTTCTAGAACTCTGTAGAATAATAACAAAATTAATTTGGAAAAACAAAAGGTCTAGAATACCAAGGAAAATAATGAAAAGAGGAAGAAACAAGGGAGAATAGTACTCAGGACTTAATACTATATGATAAAACAGAGGTCATCGGAACTACCTGGTATTGCTTAAAAAATACAGAGATAGATCAATGGAACAGACTAAATAAGGGAGAATCAGAAACAATAGAACTCATTAACACACTGTTTGATAAATTGAAAAACATAAATTACTTAGGAAAGAACTCCCTATTTAATAAACACTACTGGTAAAACTGGAAAGCAGTGCGGCAGAAATTAGGCTTAGACCAACACCTTACCTCTTATTCCACAATATAATCTAATACATGGATACATGACCTTAATATTAGTGACTATACTATTATAAAAAATTAGAAGAGAAGCAAATTATAAACCTCTCACAGCTATGGGTAGGAAATATACTCTTATTCTTACCCAAACAAGAGATAGAGGCAGTTACAAAAGATAAAATAGGTAACTTTGATTATACAACACAAAAAAAACTTCTGCACAGACAAAATTAATGCACATAGGATAAGGGAAGAGGTCAAATGGGAAAAAATACATTGTCGGTGGATCTATGAAAGGGTACAACCTTCTTGGAACTCAATTTGAAATTATGCAAATAAAGTGACTAAAATGTCCATACCCCTTGAACCAGAGACTCCATTACCAGGATTATACTCCAAGGAAGCCATTGATAAGAAGAAAGTCTTCATATATACCAATATATTTATAACAGTACTTTTTGTGATAGCCAAGAACTGGAAACAAAGTAGATGCCCATCAACTGGGGAGTGGCTAAACAAATTATAGTTCATGAAAGCAATGGAATATTACTGTACTGCAAGAAATTATATTTGTACTCAGGGAAAATTAGTATGATCTTTCAGGAGAAGAGACGGATATTCAACGAAATAGGGGACTTCCAAACCTTCCTGATAAAAAGACCAGAGCTCAACAGAAAATTTGATCTTCAAATACAACACTCAAGAGAGACATAAAAAGGTAAACAGGACAGAAAGAAATAACATGTTACAAATAAGGGCAAACTGTTTACATCCCTACAAGGGAAGATGACACTTGTAACTCTTGAGAACTGTATTGTTATTACACCATGTTAAAGGGGTATACATAAAGAGGGTGGGTATAAGTTGACTTCTATGTAATGATAAAAAAAAATCTAATCAAGTGGGTTAAATGGATCCAAGTGAGTGGATTAATCTGATCTAACTAAGAAAATGTACTGACAGAAAAGGAAAGGAGGAGGCAGACAAGGGTAAATTACATACAGGAAAAGGCACGAGAACCTATTACGGGAGAGGGAAAGAAGGGAGGGAGATGAGCATTGTTTGAACCGTACTCTCATCAGATTTGGCTCAAGAAGGGAATAACAATCAATTAGGTATAGAAATCTAACTTGCCCTACAGGCAGTAGGAGGGAAAAGGCAAAGGAAAAGGGAGGGGGAATAGAAGGGAGGGAAGAAGTAGTAAAGGTAAAGGGGAAGAAAAGGGATGGGGCTAATAGAAGGGAGGCAGGACTGAGGGAGGTGGTGGTCAAAAGCAAAACACTAGTGAGGAGGGAAAAGGAGAAAGGAGAAAGCAAAGCATTAACAGGGGGGACAAGGATGGAGAGAAAGACACAGATAGTAATCATAACTGTGAATGTGAATGGGATGAACTCTCCCATAAAACAGAAGCAGATAGCAGAATGGATTAAAAACTATAATCCTACAATGTTGTTTACAGGAAACCCATTTGAAACAGAGGGACACACACAGGGTAAAGGTAAAAGGCTGGAGCAAAATATATTATGCTTTAACTGAAGTAAAAAAAAAAAAACAGGGGTAGCAATCCTGATCTCAGATAAAGTAAAAGCAAAAATAGATCTTATCAAAAGAGATACGGAAGGAAACTACATCCTGCTAAAAGGCACCATAGACATGAAGTAATATCATTACTAAACATATATGCACCAAATGGTATACCATCCAGATTCTTAGAGGAGAAGTTCAGGGACTTACAGGGAAAAATAGACAGCAAAACTATACTAGTGGGGGACCTCAACCTCCCCCTCTCTGAACTAGATAAATCTAACCACAAAATAAACAAGAAAGAAGTTAAGGAGGTAAATAGAATATTAGAAAAGTTAGGTATGATAGAACACTGAAGAAGAAGGAAAGGCCACTGAGGGACAGGAAGGAGGCACAGGGAGACAGAGGGAGTGGCTTGGCTAGGCTCTTACTGGCAGATATCACTGCTTAATGCATTTTGTATTTCTGGGAACTAAATTAACTTCAGATTCTAAGAAAATTGGGGACAGAGCAAATCTGTAAAGGGGCAGTTTTATTTCATAAATGTCCTCTTCCATTTAACTGTAACTAAATAGGAGCTGAAAATTTGTACTCTTTGTTTAAAACATAAGAACATATAATAAATATGATGTAACTGGCTAAAAAAAAGAAATTATGTTTGTGATGAATACAGAGAAGTATGGAAAAATCTATATGAACTGATGCAGAGTGAAGAAAGTACAGCCAAGAAAACAATATATACAATTAACTACAACAATGTAAATGGAAAGAATAACCACACAGACAAAAATATGACATATAATAAAATTATAAAGATCAAAAATGACTTGCATGAAAAAATATAAGAAGATACTCCCAACTTCATGGAAGAGGGAGGTCTATAGGTGTTATACATTGCATATGTTTTTGAACTTTTGCAATGTATTGATCAGTTGTGCTGGGGATTTTTCCTCTTCTTTTCTTGTCTTTAAAAAATACTCTTTGTTATATGAGATGGTTCTCTGGGAGGGGGAGATGGAGGGCTATTGGGATAACTATGATGATGTTTAAAAAAAAAAGAAGACAGCAATAGCCAAAACTGGTCATTATTCCAGTAGTGGAGAGCTGGGGAGTCCTTTCCCTCCTTGTAGAGTCCTCACACAGCCAGCCTCTGAGCACATCATCTTGGCTGAGCTCATCTTCTCCTCTCCACAGTTTGACTCCATTACCAGGCTGGCCCTCTTGATTCCAAAGCTGGTTCCCTTGGCCCCACTCTTGAATGCTTGCTTCTTCCCTGGACCTCCCTGACTGCCTTTAAATCACAACTAAAATTCCACCATCTCCAGGAAGCCTTCTCCGGCCTTTCCTAATTCTAGTGCCTTCCCTCTGTTAATTATTTCCTATTTATCAAGCTTGCTTTATATGTATTTGTTTGCATGTTATCTTCCCCTTAGATTGCAAGCTTCTTGAGGGCAGGGACTGTCTTTTGCCTTTTTTGGTATGTCCAGCACTTAGTACACAATTTGTTCAGTCATTTCATTCATGTCCGACAGGATTTTCTTGGCAAAGATGCTGTAATGATTTGCCATTACCTTCTCTGGTTCATTTTTATAGATGAGGGAACTGAGGCAAACAGGGTTAAGTGACTTGCCCAGAGTCATACAACTAGTAAGTGTCTGAGGTCAAATTTGAATTCAGGTCTTCCTGATTATTCTAGGACTGGCACCCTATCCACTGTGCTGATGGGATGATGGGACCTGGACCCTGAACTTTCCCACAATGGGGTAAGACCATGTCTTTGCCTTGAACTTTCCCATACTGGCTTTTTGTCTGAGGCATCTGGCTCACCTAGATACTCAATAATCCTTTTAACTGCCCTTTCACTGAGGCTCTCCAATCCAGCCCAGACCACTTAACTCCTTTCATTAGCTGCACCTGACCCACTCCAGCCTACCTTCCACTCCTTATCCCATCCAGATCTTCTCACAATCTGATTTGAATATAAGTATCAGTCTCATCCTCAACAAATTTGTAGATTTCCTAGGAGTCTCCACCACCTAACTGGTGTTATAATAAAACCTCACTTCTCTGACTAAAAGAAGGCTTGAGTGGTCAACTTCTTTCGAAGCAGATCCCCTGTACCCTTGCATTTTGGGGTTCCTAGCACCCCGAATCACAACATATTGGGGGCCCTCTATGGGCATTTGCCTGACCCTCTCAAGCCCTTCTCCAGCCAAGACCAGAAGGTATATAAGCCTCCCCTCTCTCTATCCCTTTATTGCTCTGCAGTTGGGGTCACTCTCCAAGCACCTAGGCAGACTTGGAGGTACTTTTTGAGCCTGACACTCTCAGGCTCCATTTGGGTCAGATGGTTACGAGGCTCTCTTAGACCTGGGCACACCTTCCGCTGCTTGGAGGATGCCCTATCTGGAAGTGTATGCCCCATTCTCTCAATTCTCTAGGATGCTAGGAATTGGGAAAACTTCAGATTTTTCTTGATTTCCTGAGGCTAACTCCCTCTACACCCTGGGATCCTTCTTCCCAGAGGGACTCCCAGTCCCCATACCTGGGCCTGCCAGATCCCCCTTCTCTTTTGGCCTCGTGACCATCAGATCCTTGCATCTGGATGCACCGGGACTTCCCTGATATTTGCCCTAGGTTAGAACTGGAAAAAGCTCAGTCTCCAAGACCTTGAAAGGGAAATCTTTGTGCGTGGCCTCAATACAATCTAGAAGACCAAGAAAAATTGTAAAAGTTTAAAAAAAATTTCTTAAGATTCTTCTTCCTTTGACCCCGGCTCCAACCAGACTAAGGCTACAATGAAAAGTTAGAAAAACTAAAAACATCTTAGCAGATCCTAGAAGTTTTGAAACACTTCCTTACAATCCTGGTCACACCCTTTCCCCCACTCACTTCCCCTAAATCAAGAGGTTATCTTCAGTGTGGGGATTGCAAAAAGCCCCATGTTTTCCTGTTAAGCCCTCTCATCCCAGATCAAACTAAGAGAAAAGAGTGCTGGAGAATGGTAGGGAATTTGATTCACCCTCCCCTACCTGTCAAAAGGAAGGAGGAGGAAAGGACAGCAGCTACATCGGGGCTCCACTGGCAATGACCCCGGTCCCTGGGCACCCTGTAGCCCACCTAGAAAGCCTGGAAGTATCACCGCCACCCCCAGCAGCTGTGGGGAGAGAGGAAAGTGAGATGGGTCAAGGCAATATGAGGTAAGAAACCAGTCAGCTTCTGCATTCAGTAAGCCCACTCTTTTAAAGTTGTAATTTCAACATATTAATAATGAGATGCTGATTTTCTGTGTAAAGTAATTTGGAAATGCATTCAACAAGATTGAAGTCACCTAATTGGTAATGGGTTATTTCAAGTTTCAAATTGGTAAGCTTTTGTATCAGTTATGTCCTACAACTTTTCATAACTTGGATGTTAGAATATGAAATGAGAGAAACTAAAAAGACGGTGCAAATTTTGTTTCCCCTCTAACCCTGTCATATAATTCTTTGTAACTGCCATTTAGAAAACTGGATATTTTCACCTTGGCCTATAGTTAAGAGGAAATTGCAGCTAAAACAATTTGGCTCTTACTTAACGAAAATTGTAAGATTGTTAACTAACATATTTCGGTTACTTTTAATGCTGAAACCTAAAGCTGGTAATTGATTGGGTACCAGCTGGATTCCCCACTATGGAAATGAGGGGATGAGGTGAAAGCCTTATCCAGATTGGTTCTGTCCATTCAGAGCTGTCCTCAGGGCTAGTCAAAAGGTATGGCCCACAGCAGCTCTAAGGGTAGATGGGGTAAACAGGAAGCTCCTTCTCAGGGTTCCCTGTCGATCCTCTCCCCTTTATTTTGTAAACTGGCCAAAGAGCTTGTTTGGGTCTTGGAGTTCCTAAACAATGAACTTGGCTTGCTGAGAATTTGCAGATATATAGAAATGATCTCTAATGATTGGCTTTTATACCAGCACAAATTTAAATTTGAGATGAAAGTCCTGGTAAATTTTCCCCCAAGCTGTGATTAGTGAAACTTGTTGTTTGAGGTAAAAGCCCTTGGGACTACAACTGATTTTGAGTTGTCTGATAGATCATAATGATCTATGCATGATCAATAGTCAATAATCCATCATCTGAGAGAAATGCCACAAGCTACTCAGAGAATGTGATACAGGTGGAGTTCTGCAGCTGGAAAAGCTGAGAGGACAGTTTTAACCTCAGTCTAAAATGGGATCCTCTTGGCTCAGTTTCCCCATCATATTCCCACCTGACTTCCTGAGTCTGGCTTTGAGGTGGAATTGATGGATCATGTCCCTGTTTTATTCTTATATAGCAAATTTCTATAATCAGAGCAGGTCAGAAAATTAGTACTTGGGTTTATCATCTACCTGCTGATATAGTCATGTGAATTATTATCCCATTGACTAAGGCTGGAATAATGAAATGTGTTTAAGATCTGAGCTTTTCAGCCTAAAATTATATTCCTTTCTATATCCTAGGCAACTTAGTAATTGGGTATTGCTATTCATTACTAAAATGAAATCAGAAACATCTTCAGTTTGGTTTGAGGAAGAGAATTTCAGTGCAATCAGTTTTCTTGGAGGGAGGTAACTTCTTTGACCTAGTCATTACTTAAAAATCCTCCCAAGTCTTTTGTTATAATTGGAGTAAAAGTCAGTCAATCTTCTTAGAGGGAGGTAACCTCTTTGGCCTAGTCATTACTTAAATATCCTCCCTAGTTTTTTGTTATAATTGGAGTAAAAGTCAGTCTCTGGCAAATTCATTTGTGTAACTATTGAACCCAAGGGTGGAAAACTTTTACCTGTAAAAGTGTTGTTACTTCCTGATAGCATTTGAGCTTCCTAAAAGAATTGGAATCAGAGTGGAAACTTTTGAGAAAGTAACAAAATTAGATAACCCTGTATGTCAAAGGTAAATTATTCTAATGGTACTCTTGCTTTCTTTCTTTGTTTCCCCCATCCTGACATCACTTTTCTCCCTATATTTGGGCCCTACCTATTGAACTTGCTCGTCAGATTTTTGTCTTCCAGATTACTGGCCTTTCACCTACTGTTGGGTACCAGTGGGTACCAGCCCACGCTCACCTATCATCCCCTGGATGCAGCCTTTACTCAGTTCCAGCCAACCTCCTCCCTGGAACGCCCTCAAGGCAGGGCCAGCTCTACCGACCTTTGCCAGCATGAAGCAGTTGCTGAGATCTTCGCCCTTTACCTCAAAAGATTTTGGGTCCCATTTGTTTGAGGTGGGAATGATGGGATGATGGGAACTGGACCCTGAATTTTCTCACTCTGGTGTTTCTCCTGAGGCATCTGGCCTACCTAGATACTTGATAATCCTTTTAACCACCCTTTCCCTGTAACTCTTCCAACCCACCCCAGACCACTTAACTCCTTTCATTGTCTACACCTGACCCACCCCAGGCTACCTGCCAATCCTTAATCGCATCCAAATCTTCTCACAGTCTTTTTTGTATATGAATATCAGTCCCATCCTCAACAAATTCATAGATTTACTAGGAGTCTCCACCACCTAACTGGTGTTATAATAAAACCTCCCTATTCTGACTTAAAGAAGGCTTGAATAGTTGAATTCTTTTCAGGCAGACCTATAGGCAGACCCCCTATATCCTTGCATTCCCAGCACCCCAAACCACAACAGTGCCACTTAGCTTAATAAATGTTTGTTCATTGATTGACTAATTATTGATTGAGTAACTGCCTCTCTGTATCTGTGGTTAGAAATTGTCTCTCTGCATTTCCCTGGGTGGTGTCTCCTACTGGTTGAATAGTTCCTTTTCAAAGCAACATAGCCAAGGAGGAAGAGGAGAGAGAAATTCTCTTCAATCCCCTAAGAGATTCTCTCTAAGGGGCCAGAGCCCTCCTCCACTTCTGGCTCAAACTAATGAACTCTGCCAGGGTTTAGGTATTTAAAGCCCTGAAAAAAGTGTGTCCAAGATTTTGCTTATCTAATGAGACTATTCCCCTACTTTTTTAGTCTATGGGAGTAAGAGGTTAATGGGGTATAGCTTAATTTTGCCAATAGTTTAACACCTTATTATCACATTAAAATCTTGTCATTTTTGACTAACTCCTCCTAATACATCAACTGAGCTTGAGATATCACATCTATTGCTTTCCTTACACATAGAATTAAAGTGATTAGGAAAACAAACAACTTTTTTTAAACACAGCTGAGAGATAGGTTTTGCTATCTCTCCCTTCCCCTCCCTTATCTGTGTGGCTGGGGAAAGTCTCTGTAAACCTTTTAGGCACATAAAGCTTGGGGCTGGGGGCAAATTTTGCTCTTTTCCTTAGGAATGAAGGAATTCAGATCAAGCAAAATCTCTCCAACTGATCAATCTGATTATTTCGTAATCGTAATTCCCAGTAGTTCTCAGTGTTCAGCAGACTGTTGATCTGATCATGATGCTGTGCCTAGGCTAGTACCTACTTGGCTAAGTCTTGGTCTCAGAAGTTCCAAGGTCATAAAGAGCCAAAAACATAGCCTATGGTAGTTTTGGATAAGATAAGGCAAGGTAAGGCAAAATATGGCAAGGTAAGACAAGATTAAGACAAGATCAGACTTAGTCTTATCAACTTATCTTAGTCTTATCATCCTTGTTGGATTGGGTATTGTAGAATCTTAGAGCAAGTAGAAGAGTCTTAGAATCTCTCCTACCTTTCACTCAAGAATTGCACAGACACAGATTTCTAGAAACCATGACAGCAAAGCAAAATTTCCCACAGCTTGTGAGTATTTCACAGGAATTTTTTCTGGCCTTTCAGAATGAAATATCACGTTTTATTTTGTTATTAAAACGAAAATTAATTTAAATGAAATTAATTTTAAAATTTTGCTTAATTTATCATCTTTTGTGTCGTGTATTCTCAACCTTTTGTTATTTTTCACTTGTTTTCAGTCGTGTCTGACTCTTTGTGACCCCATTTGGGGTTTTCTTGGCAAAAATACTGGAGTTTGGCATTTTCCTTCTCCAGCTCATTTTATAGATGGAGACATTGAGGCAAACAGAATTAAGTGACTTGCGCAGGATCACACATAAGTGTCCAAGGCTACATTTGAACTCGAGTCTTCCTGACTCCATGCCTGGTGCTCTATACACTGTACCCCTAGCTGCCCTTATTTTCTCAATCTGTCAATACTAATAATATATTGAAAAGGGGTCTTCATTTTTGAGAAAGGCTGGGAATCACTACCTTTGCACTATTTTTATTGAAAAAAGACTTAGTGGGCAGCTAAGTGGTATAGTAAATAGAATGCTAGCCTTAGAATCAAGTAGACCTGAGTTCACATCTGGCTTCAGAGACTTATTTGCTGTGTGATCTCTTTGGTAAGTCACTTAACCTCAGTTTCCTTCTTGTAAAATGATGAAAATAACAGCATTTATTGTAAAAGGCTGTTGTGGAGATCAAAGGAGATAACATATAAGGTGCTTCCCAAACTTAAAAGTTCTATTTAAATGTTAACTATTATTATTGTTAATAATTAAAATAATTAGTAACTAAATTAATAAATAATTAAAATAAAAATTATTAATAAGTGAGAATAATGTCTTCATTTCTTGATAGAAAAGTTTAAAAATTTAAAGAGCTGCTTTGGGGAAAGCACAGTATTTGAGTTCCTCCAGGTGACTAAATTTAATTCTTTAATTAAATTGTTTGATAGTGGACGGTATAACTATTTTAACTTTTTGTTTTGTTTTGTTTTATTTTGTTTTTAGTCCTGTGCTTTGTTGGCACTCAGCCTGGAATTCCTGCCTCCTTGGTTGATAACTGAATGGGTGTGAAATTACCTAGGCCACCATCCCTAGCCTGGGGACACCCAGGCCAACTGGCCACATGCACTTCTGCCCCTTCCTTCCTTCTACCCACCTGGATCTGCATCTGAACTGAACTTCTAGATTTTCTCCAAACATTGAGGAAGTTACTCCACTTAGCTTTAGAGCTATTGACCTAGGATTGAGCCCCCTTGAGTGGAAGGAGAGTGATAAATTTGCCTAGTCTGGCCCCAGACCAGCTATCATAGTATGTATCTTATTCAGCCTTCCAGCCAGACTGCCTTGTGAAATGGCTAACTACCACCTCACCTACCCATATGCTGTAAGTGTTTAACAAGTGGCTTTCTTTCCAGGTTAGGAGGGGCGAGGGATTTGTGCACAACACACTTCTGAGTTTAATCTGCATTATGGACATTTTCTCCTTTACTTTATGAAGTCTAGACAATCAACAAAACAGTAAGTCAAGCCCTAATTTATGTTTGCCATTTTCTGAGATGTAAATATTCACACTGATAATTTAACAATCAGTGGGACTGGCTTCAGCACCGCACCCTCCCACCCCCCATACTCCTTCCCCACCTCTTAACTCTGGACACAGTAATCAAATCAATGCTACAACATAGCTTCTGGAGAGGGCATATCAGATGACTGCCCTATGGATCAATTACCCAGTCTTCTGACTCCCCAGAGCAAAGCCCCCTTCCCTGACTATCAAATCCTTCTGTGTCATCTGCCCCTTAGAATGTAGATTCCCTAATTGAAGGGGACTGGAAGAGGGTTGGGTAGAAAGTAGAGAACGTGAACCTGAAAATAAAATTGAATTTTAAAAAAAAATTACAATATTTTTAAAAAGACTGTACAGGAACTATCTTGCTTTTATATTTGTATCCCCAGCACTTAGCACAATGCTTGGTGTGCAGTAAGCACTTAATTTTTTATTCATTTATTCATTCACTAAAATTCATATAAAATAAATATTTGTTGAGTGGATGGAAAAACGAATGATCATATCTACACAATGAATTCCTAGGATGCCAGGAAACTAAGGAGGTTTTCTTTTTCTTGTAAAAAAAAAGTTTTATTGATACTATTTAAAAATAAACATTATCCGTATTTCACAATTACTCTCCCCATTCCCCTCTTGTAAAAAAGTACAGTTAGTCAAAAACAAAATGACACGTTGTTCATTTATGATAGTGTGTGCCTCGGTCTCTTTACCTGATTTTGCAGGGAGGTAGTTACATCATCAGACGTCTGTAGTTGATTGATCTATGCATTGATGTTAGTTCTGATGTCTTTAAATGTTATTTTCCTTTATATTTTTGTGGTTTTGCTCTTGGTTTGCTCATTGTTTTCCATCAGTTCATACAAGTCTTCCCAAGTTTCTCCAAATTCTTATCCATCAGTCCTTACACATAATAATTTTCCATTACATTCATATTCCACCATTTATTCAGCCATTACTCACATCTGGGCATCCATTCTGCTTCTGCTTTCCTTTCTGATACCACAAAAAGTACCACTATAAATATTTAGGCATTTGTGAGAGCTTTCCCTATGGCTTTGACCTACCTGGGGCAAATACTCAATGGCAGTATCATTGGGTCAAAAGGGTATGATGAGTTTTAGTCACTTTCTAGTACTATTTCAAATTGTTTTCTAAAACAATTGAACTAATTTACATCTCCACTAATGAAGTATGAGTATACTTGTCTTCCCATGGCCCCTCCAACATTAACTATATCTATCTTTTATCATCTATGCCAATTTGATGGCATAAGCTTCAACCTCAGAATTGTTTTAATTTACATTTCTCTTTTTGTACATTAATGATTTGGACTTTTTTTTCACATTTTTTAATCATTTATTTGCATTTTATCTCTTGAATTTGTTTCTGTTCTATGACCACTGATTCCTTGGAGATGGGCTCTTGGTTTTATATTTCTCTATCAATTCCCTGTGTATCTTAGATATCAAATCTTTATCAGCAATATTTGCATATTTTATGCAAATATAATGGAAAGACTATCTCATGAGATCCTAGTCCTTCAAGTACACGAATATTCACCTTTCTTAATAGGTTATACAGTGAATGTGCAATATTCTCTGCTTTGGTGAGCTTTCCTTGGGTCACAAGTGACTGATGGGCCAGAACTGCAATGATGAAGAGATGTTGAATTGCCCTCAGAGTCAAAAGGACCAATGAGGGGAGCTGAGTTCAAATACAAAAAGATCCATAAGCTCCTCCTTTGGGCCTTTTTGTGCTTCTCCCTCAGCAGCCTTCAATGGGAGTTTTTGTTGAGGGGTGGAGGGGAAGGGAGGAGATGGTTAGGGAGAGGGGCAGCAGCTATGGCTGCCTAATTTCCCCATCAGGCCTCCATATATCCCCGAGTGCATAATGCTTATTTCTTTATGTTTATTCTTTCCTGATCTTAGGTGATTGAGTATTTAAAGATGCAATGGACAAAGTTATGACTTTGTGAGCTTTGAAAGATTGGAAAAGCTGTCAAAAGTACTCTCAGCTACTAAAGTCTGTAGCAAAGACAGCTGGGGGTGATAGCAACAAAAGATGAGTACAATGAGATGATAGTACTGAGGAATTAGCTGCTTGACTCAGCCCAGCAGTCGATTGACCTATCAGCAGAAATACCAAGTCCTATAAGGAGCTAACCCAACTGAGCAAGAGAATGACTGATCCAGAATCAATGCCAGTTCCTGAAGAGAATTTGGTAGAGCGTCCTCTAAGAAAGAAAAGGACTTCCAGAGTCAAGAATCCCAGGTCCTTACATCATCCCTACATGTTTTGCCTCAATGTACCTTTGTGCTTCAAGCTTGATATACCTTCTCAGTAAATATCCTTTTGTAAAAGCTAATTGATGTCAAGCAATTGATCATTTGAGGGAACACACAGGATGGGGGCTCATGAATATAGTACTACCATCCTAATCCCTAAGGGTTACTAAATGTTAGAACTCTGATGGCAACAGTAGGCAACTGTGCCCTGGGACCCAGCTGGCCAATTTCAGCAGGATATATCTTCCCAGTTGATAATTTCTCTTCTTATACCAAGTAGGTTTTTCAGGACAGAAGACAGTTGTTGCTTTTTGCCAGTCACGGCTCTGACCACAGTCCCTCAGGAAAGTGTCCAGCTGCCTTCTGAGATATTCTGACCCTCATCAGAGGAGGAAATTAGAGAAAATTTTAATCTCCAAGCTCCTACAGCACCCTTCATCATGTACTATCTTCCATATATAGTGCTCATAGTGTAAAAATTGCCACTTTGACGATTTACATTTGACAATTTGAAGAGACACTACTTTGCTCTCCACCTGCCGTCTTTGTGTATGAATTACATGACTTTAGTTTCTCCCTGAGCCAGTCTCTCTTAGTAAAGAATTAGACCCATGTTCAGCCCAGAACCTTATGAGTAGAAGGTGCTGGATAATTATTCATTGAATGAATGAATCCATGTAATTTGGTGGTAAATTTAAAAGCTTCTTGTCACCCAGATTGGTATAATGTAATCCCAAAGACAGTAGTTGGCCACTTTCATTCCTGCTAATGAACCACTTGCTTTGTCCTGGTTTTCACAGCTTCAATTATCCAAGAAGCACACAATGTACTTGGTTTGAATCAGCCTTGGCTGGTTCGGCAAAAGCTGGGCTAATTGTGGGTGAAGTAATCCAACCTTTGGCTGTACAAAGAATGGGAAATATTCAGTAACTTCAACTGTCCTAAAGACCCCAGAGGGCCCTGGGCCTCTTGGAATATGGGCCTGAATTTCATTTGGCTTTCTCTTGATCGTTTTCACAAAAATAAGAGGCAATCTCCTGCATGAATTCGAGAGAATTCATTAGGTTACATTTCTGTAACCTAATCCATCTGTGTAGATTCAAAAATAAAATGTTGTCTCCTCCTTATCTCATCATTTGTCAGTTTACAACATTTATAATTCAAGTGATCGAAATATGGATTATTAAATGTCTGATACGTTAAAATCCAACAATGAAAAAACTCTAACACTGCTGTTCCCACCATTCCCTCCCCAACAAATTGGATCAGAAACTGGAATGGGAAATAACTTGAGGGCATCCAGGTGGGCAATCACGATAGTTTAGCTTCTCCTCTAATGTAGGAGTCCACCAAAAAGACATTTTGAGAGGCAGCTAGGTAGAGCAAGGGATAGGACCTGATTTCTTCAGCCTCAGACACTAGCTATATGACCTTGGGCAAGTCACTTAACCCCCAACTCCCAAAAGAAGAAAAAAAGAGGCATTTTGAAATATAGCAAAGACATAGCTCACTGTCAGGATCCCTGCCTTTGCATAAATTTTCCTTGCCTCCACCTGACATTCCTAGAATATAATCCTTCCTCACCTCCTCCTTTTAGAATTTTTAGCTCTCTTCAAACCCCAGATCAAAGGTTCACTTCTACATGATTCCTGTCCTGTGTTCCCCTCTTCTCTTTCCACCCCACCCCCAGCTACTGGTGCCTTCTGTGCCAAACTCACCAAAAAAGATTAACTTGTGTTTCTTTCATGTATATTTTTTCTATTCATATATAAGTTCTCTCTTCTCCTCTCACCCCAAAGAAATATGCACTCCTTCAGGCAAGGGAGTGGGTTCATCTCTACTTTTGTATCCCCAGTGCCTAACACAAGGTCTGGCACATAGTAGGCTATTAATAAATGCTTGTTGATTAATTAATTAATTTGAGAATACATAGTTCAGTCATTAACACATCCTTCATATTAACACTGCGTAACAACTCCGCCATGTCCTCTTACCTATACCTGTTATCTCTCTAGTATCTTAACAGGTTGCTCTGCACATAAAAGGCATTTAAAATAAATATTTGTTGGTCTGAAATATAATCTCAGAATGTTGATTCTTTTAAAGAAGTGATCAGTATCTTTGAAATATCCTGAAAGAATCAGATGGAGATTAAATAACTGGGTCTTGAAAAGCCGTAGTGGTGGCAGCTAGTTGGCGCAGTGGATAGAGCGCTGGCCCTGAGTTCAAATCCGGTCTCAGACCAAACACTTGACACTTATTAGCTGTGTGACTCTGGGCAAGTCACTTAACCCCAATTGCCTAAAAAAAACCAACAACAGTCATAGTGGCAAAAAACTCTTTTTGGTGAGAAAGGATGAAAGTGCAGTTTGCCTTGGAAGAAATCACTTTGAAAATCAGCTTTTGACTGATTTTTTGGTTGAGAAAACCAAATAAGGTTTATTTGAGTCATTTTGCTCTGTGTTTATTCTTGAGACATGCTGCCAATTTAGAGAGTTAAAACCTGTAGTGGGTGATTTCACTCTGCTGGTGATAATAACTTAGTAGTCATTATTCATTTTGCATTTTTATGTGCTACCTAATTTTAATTATATGATTTCGCATTTGTTGTTCAATTGTTTTAGTCGTGCCCAACTCATCATGATCCCATTTAGGGTTTTCTTGACAAAAATATTGGAGTGGTTTGCCATTTCCTTCTCCAGTTCATTTTACAGATGGGGAAACTGAGGCAAACAGGGTTAAGTGACTTGCCTAGGGTTCCTAGCTAGTAAATGTCTGAGGCCAGATTTGAATTCAAGTCTCCCTGACTCCAGACCCTGTGCTCTATACACTGTGCCATCCAACTGTCCTGTGATTTCTTATTATATCCATTATTTTATATTTTGAGCAACTAATTGTCTAATTAACTAGACAATTTTTTGTTAGGGTAATTTTCTCATGGGAGTTCTAGCTTCTCTCAGCAGAAGCTGAGGGTCACAACCTATTGCATGGCAAAAACAAGGAAGTCTCACAAGACCTCTCCTTTGCTGACACGCAGCTCCCACGGTTGGCTCAGCTCTCCTCTCATTGGGAGAAAAGTCCTATCATACCCCTGAAACGAGAGCTGCAGGTGTCTAGCAGACTTGGTGATTGGCTATCACGTGGAGATCATGCTTTGATCAGGTGTTACTAGGGATATAAAAGAAAGCTACTAGCACTTAATAAACGGAGCTTCTGCCATCTTGCTGTCTCCCGCATCATCAATGCGTCTCCGGGTTAAGAGTATTGAGCTGGTCTCATGCTTACCACTGCAGCGGCCGCGTCAGTTTTTGGGCATCTGCTCTGTGATGGGCTATGCTGTTGGGGAGAGAAACCTGAGTATAATACATGTGTCCCTGTCCTCAGTCCAATAAAGCATAATTGACATTTTCTCCACGGAGGAAGAATGAAGGCTGAACATGTTGGCGTTAGTTTTTATAACCAATGCAGAAGGTGCATTGGTTATCTATCCTCCGTATCACCAGCTGTCCCTTTGTGTACCGTACAAGTCCAGGATGAGGTGTATGGGTGTTCAGGGAAGGCTCAGGTGTGAAAGCTTTTGTGAGCCCTTTTCAGGGCTGCTTTCTACCTTTAGTATCCACCTGCCACCCAGCTCTCACCTTATAGCTCCAAGAAGCTATAGCATGCACAGTGGTCATACCCTGGTAAACTGTTTTGGCAGAGGTGCTAAACCAAGTTGAAGGTAACCAATGGGCCTCAAACCAGTTGATGAGTTAGGGGGGATCTCCCCCAAACATATGAAGACTTCCTCTGGTAGAATGGACAGATGTGAACAATTTGTTCCAATGGGCCATGAAGGCAATGGAAGCAGGTGCTATGGGGTACTTAGAGGTTGGTTAGACATTGAAGATGCCAAAGTCATCTGCTTCATCCCAAGCCATTGCCAGGCATCTTGACTTTTGTCTTGTCACTTCACTGGACTCCAATGACTGTGGAAGAGAAAGTGAGGCCAACTGAGCCAACAACTTCATGCAACTCTGCCTCACTTAAATCCAATTTATGCGTGAGTCAAAAGATATCACCCATACTGTTTTACCATTCTGAAGGTCTAGGAGCTGTTGTGCTGACTTCATTGTTGTATGCCTGTGAAACCTGGACAGTCTACCAGCACTGTGCCAGGATCATTTTCATTTGAAGGTTCTGAAGATCATCTGGCAAGGTAAGTTCCCAGACACTGAGGTCTTTTCTCAAGCTGAACTGCCAAGCATTCAAACTCGACTTCAACAACCACTACCAGGTGCAGGATTCTCTAGGGACCCTGCCTGAGCGCTTTCCCTTTCCAGGTGCAGTTTCAATCCCATAGTAGAACCATAAATTTGGAGGACTATATAGGTCCCTAGGGAAGATGGGATTCACTCTAGAGATGAACCCTATGGAACTCTAGTGACTCTAAACACTTTCTTCTTATGAGAGGGGAACTGTAATCCTAGGGCAGTTGCTATTTGTCTTTCATTCTCGAAGAGGACCATGACGTCAGGTAGGTGATGCCATGACATGCAAGTGAATTGGATTTAAGTGAGGCAGGGCTGTGCAAAGTCACCAGCCTCACTTTCTCCTCCAGAGTCATCTGAGTCCAGTGGCCAGATACAGATCAGGGCAACTAGAGATGGCGTTGGAAGCAGGGGTAGACCTTGACCTTTTTGAGTTAGGGGCTTTGACAGGTTTCAGTTTGACTCTGGCTCTCACTGATTGGCCAACGGTAGGTCCCAGGCCAAGCCCCACTTGGCCATTGTTTGGGCCCTGATTGGCTCAGAGTGGGTTCTTCCCCTCCCAGATTGATTTTTTTTTTTGACTAGATAAAGCGGTCATTCTTTGCCTCATTTCTTATTAAGACTAGGGCTGTACTCTAAGTGTGGAGGAATGAAAAATCCCTGGAGGATGGAAAGAGGAAAGGCGTGTCTTGATTGTTTATGGGGCTAAGTGTAGTTCTTCTGTTTTTCTGTTGGGTTAAATAAACCTGTCCTACATTTATTTAATAGTTTGCTAACCTGTGAACATTCACAGAAACTGACAGATCTTTACTTTGTGGAGACCAAGACAATTCAAAATTTGATATTCTCAGAAGAAACCCCATGAACGAACAAAATAAGCCACAATCTGTTGTTCCCCCACAGATATGGGGACGTGAGTCGAAAAGCTGGGTTTGGGACGAGTTCACTAGACGTAACCCAGTCCATACACACACACACACACACACACACACACACATCCAAGGGAAAACATAAAATGCCTTGCTCCAGCATCAGTACTTCAGAAATCTCCATCCTAGTCATGCTTCAGTAGAAACTGTTTTGGGGTTAGTCTGACCCAAAACAGAAACTCCAAACCATGACCTCACAGCCAAAGTTCTAATGATGAAAACTCTCTAAACATGGCAAGGTCGTCTCCCTGCCTGCCCCAACCTGCAAGCCTTACTAACTTGACAGGAGCTATCAGAACTTGGGCCCTCAGGTGTGGCCTTCAGGAACCCACGGTTATCTCAACGAGGCATCAGAAGGGGGAGTGGGGGGATCGGTAGAGGTTCTATAGAATGTAATGAAATACAAAGGCAGTCTCAAAGTGCTGGGAAAAATACCACCTTTTTTTTACCCCCATAAAAAAATAAATCTCAGGTATATACTTACTGTTCACTATTGCAGTTCTGGTGCCAATTTCATTGTTTTGGGGAAAGTTGATATTTAGAAGTTAAGAGGCCTGCATTACTAACCAGGAAATGCTGTCTCTATCCCCCCTCCCCTCCACAATTCCCAGTGAGCTTTGGTCCTTCCCAGGGGACTATTCATTTATGTAACCCTTTGTTATAAGACCTTGGCTGCTGCTGAATCTCATCTAGGGCAAAGGATCTAATCCTTGGATTAGAGAAACCATTTAAAAAATAAATTTATTATTAATTTTTAACATTCATTTAAAAATTTTTTTGAGTTCCGAATCTCTCTCTCCCTCTTGTCTCTCCCTCACCCATTGAGAACACAATCATCAATTATGCAATGTGAAATCAAGCAAAACTTATTTCCATACTAACCACGTTGCAAAAAAAAAAAAAAAGGCAAAAAAAAATAAAGTTTCACCATGTTTTGGAGGAATAGAA